GAAAAAATCCATTTCCTATCACATCCTTCCTGATATGAAGTACAAGTGCTGCTGATATTTAATTACCGAACTTTGAAAGGAATTCGGTCAGGCTGTGGCTCACCTGCAAGGCTACACAGTCTGGGTGAGACTGTTTGGACCAGAGGCTTTTAAACTCAAGGTTTATTCAACATTTTACTGTTTTCTTCAACTTGTTTGGATTAACTGTATGTAGAGAGCCTGGCAGCTCTTTTACAGACCTTAAGTTAGTTACAAAAACCTTGTGCAGACCAGAATAGGCAGGAACATTGCAAGACTGAATGCAAGGATTGATAAAAGCTGCCTGAATTACAAACACCAATTTCTTCTTAATAAAAAAAACTTTTTTTTTTTAATACAAAAAGATTGATAACTGGAGCTGCAGAGATCCACAGCTCAGATGCACTCCACCGAGCTGGTCGAAAAAAGCTTTATGAAGCAAAGATGTGGAGGAAGACGCTCTGAGGAAAACAACAACCACATGATGCAACATGGTTTTACTGAAAATTACCCTGAATAAACCAACCAATGTCACTCCCACTCTCTCACAACCCCTTTCCTGTCAGCATACTGTCCATAAAACAGGCAAATAAAAAATAAAAAATTATCAAGTATTTTGCGGCGCTAAAGGAGTTTTAATGTGCTGGACTGAGGGGAAAATGGCTCTTTGGATATAAAAGGTTGCAGACCCCTGCAGGTCTGCAGAATGAAGCAACAATGGCAACGGAAAAATGAACAAAGCGGGAAAAAAATCCTGAAAGAAACCTCCAAGCAAAACAACAAGCCTAAATCTATCTTTATGCTGGTAAAACTTTCCTGTTGCTGAACGAGTTTCTTAGAGGAAAAATTTCAACCCCCATTGCGAAATCTAAATACTCCACTTGGGGGCAGAGGTCCCTCCTTATCACATAAGTAACTAAAGCTTTTTGAAGAAAAGTAAAAACCACAACCAACTCATAAATAATTTGAGTTCAGACTGGGAAGCTGCTGCAAGGTTTCATAAACAGTTTGAGTAGTTCATGTTTTTTTCCTAACAAGATAGTGAAAACTAGTAGATAAGCATAAAGAAACTTGGTTGATCTACAGGAAACTAGCTTAGTGGAACTTAATTTAAATGTGAGCCTCAATTTACAGATTTCTATTTCAAAAGAAACAGTTTTATTTACCCCTCACAGTTCACCGCTGCCGTGCATTGGTGAATTATGAGGCATTCAAGCAACACCAGGCCAAAAAGCATTTCTGCCAGGCCCTTTCCTGATACAATCAGATAGCGATCTCAGCAGACGCTGAACTAAAGCTAACAATAAAATATGAATTACTCTGAGAACGATGGGGATAAACACACCAAAGATAGCAGCAAACGCTCACGTTTAAAACAAACAATGAGATATGGCATTTTATCCCACGGTTCGCTGGCAGGGAGCACTGCGTTTCCAGCTTTAGATGGCTATTTTTGATCATCCGCTAACAGTTTTTAATGCAAGTCTGCAGTCTGTGTTCTCCTGTCAATTTTTTAAAAAGTCAACAGCAGACATTTTTACTCTGATAAAATTCCCACAATAAGCTTATTAGGGCACAGCGTCTGTTAAAGGAATGTTTTGCTCCAAAAATGTTGCTGCCTGAATCCCTGAGGTGCCATGATAGGAATGCACGAGGAGGAGGAGACGGGAAGACACACATAAATACAAATAAACTGTCTGCAAACTACAAAGATATTTGGATTGAGA